AATCTGTAGAGAAAGCAATGAACTGTAGAGCAGGGAAATAGCCAACAGCAACTTTTATAAAACTGTTCAACCACTGGCCATTAAAGAACAGCTCCTTAACTTCTCAAGTTGGAACCTGCAAAATGTAAATCAGGCCTTTGTGAGACAAACTAAAATAGTGTCCCCTCAGGGTACACAAATACCACAGTGAAGTCACCAGCTTGAGCTACTCCCTGACATAGTCAGAGCCCATATTACAAAGATTTTTCCCAGGAGAAAAGGAAACTTTGCTGTTTGTTTCGTGTTAAACATTAATACATACTCATCGGAGGGCCAAGTTACCTTATGTGTTGATTCTGATTTATACACACAAGACATTTCATACAGATTAAAGCATGTCCTAAAAAAAACTTATGAAGAGCTTGGAAACTGGGTTGCAATGCTAACTTTGGAACTTCCATAAACTTTGACTGGCCTGCTTATATAAAGTTTCTTAACTTAATTGTTTTAAGAATGAGAAAAGGCTACCTTTTTGCAAGATCAAAATCCCATCTGCCAAGTTTCCATTCACAATAATTATTGCATTAACTAAAGGGGCTACTTAAGAAAAATCAAATCCTCAGCTACAGTACTACCTTCAGCAAGTCCCTAGATATTGCTAAAACTCACTTTTAACATTATCATCTGATGTAAACGTTACACTTTAAATAGCGACTAAGTAATCTATGCACATTATTCAAAAGTATCTGAAAGCTGAACGCAAAATAGAACTTTTTGGGAATGGGTGCCTGAGACTTTCTCCACAACAGGCAGAAAATACAGTTGTGGTTCTCACAGCAACTTTAACTCTTCATATCCAAGATGTGCGGTGCCCTGAACCCTACTATGTTACTGTATATGGAAGTTAAGTAACGGCTGCTGTCTGAATCCATGCTGGTTTTCCTCCATTTTTTACTAATGTAACAGTGATGGTACTGGCTATAAGGATCTAATTTGTACCTGTCGAATGTCAAAATATGATTCAGCCTCCCCCAAAAAGGTACCAGTTAAAATGATCATACAATCTAGTATATGAACATTTCTGAAGGGTGTATGAGCGCCTATCATTGGTGGTCTCCTAGCTGTGAACCTTAGCAACTAAAGACAAATTGCTTTATGTATTATTTGAATATGTCTCGTCATGTTTCATTTTCATACTAAAAAAGTGACTCATGACCATCACCAAAATGCGTACATTGCTTGTAATTACTTACGTGTGCTCTGACTTCACAATGTTTTTCTCTGGTTTTGAGACAGGGTCTCACTACGTAGCTCTGGCTGGTTTGAAACTTGCTAGGTATACCAAGTTGGCCTTTAACTCACAAAAACCCACCTATGTCAGCCTCCCAGAGTGCTCCAGCAACACACCTAACCCTAGACTCGATTCGTTTCTAAGTGTTGCAGTGAGGAGAGTTCGACATCAAAAGGAAGGTTAGCAAAGTGGTGTCTGGGCCGATTCTCCCACACTGCCAACTGGAGTTTCACATGCTCTGGAGGGGCAAGGCACAATATGCACCACTTGTTTAAGGGTATGTGAAATTTGAACCTGGATGGGAGATTTAATGGATGCACAAAACAGTCATGGTACTTGACTCCATGGGAAATAATTAGTTAGCTACAGCCCACAGAGTAACTGGAGTGAATACGCTGAATATCAAAACACTCTGATAGGTCAATCCTTGCCTACCTGCCCTAAATTGTTGAGCACGGCATTCATGCATGCATATACACCCAGTCACAAAAAAAAAAGAAAGAGGTGGGACAGAAACCAGAAACATGACACATAAAGCTCTCCCCTCCCACCTACTCCACCGCACACATTTCCTGCAGGACATCATGTCCAGCCCAAGAACAAGTACTGTATGTTCACTCAAGATTTCATAAACTATCCAACTACAACGTGTAAAGCACATGCGTTTACAATAACTATACTGCTATGAAAATATTGTAAATCTTTTTGTTAAGAGTAAACCCGCTGGGCGTGGCTGCACTCAGGAAGCAGAGGCAAGCCGATCTCTCTGAGTTAGAGGTCAGCCTGGTCTACAGAGTGAGATCCAGGACAGCCAGAGTGAAACACTGTTTTATGTCACTTAGCAACCAACAGAAGACATTTTCAGTAAAATCAAGTCATGCTGCAGTCCTAATGAGGTGAAAAAGCCCTTCGACCTTGTTAGTAACATGGCCCAAAGTATATATATCTGACTAACCTGACTGCTATTCTCCTACCCTAGCACACTGTCTCTGCAACAGAGAATTTACCAGGGAGTAGTAGTCTATCCCTCTGCAATCACCTGAAATCAACCTCAGCTCCTTCTGCCTAGGGGAGGAGGAAGGCTAAGAAGGACAGCCTATTGTTCAGGACTTTTCAACTGCATCTCAGGCCCTTGGGAGCCTTCAAGGCCTTTTCTTTTTCTTTCTTTTTTTTAATCTGAAAATGGATTAAGCAAGACTTCAAGGGAATTCAGAATTGAACAGAAAAAAATAAGTAAAAGGTTAAAAATAACTGGACATAAACTGCAAAACTCATTTTAGGCAACTTAAAAAAATTTTTTCAAGACCCTTAAAAGTTTCTTCTGAGACCTTGGGAAGCCCCAAGTGTCTGCCTCCCACTGACTCCAGAAAGAGCCTGTCCCAAGACACTACAAAACCCGAACTCATCCATTTCTTTAGTTACTGAGAAGCAGAGGCCTCACAGTTCCATTTTGTGAACTTGTTTTCAAAATGTTCCATCTGCCTGGTAACTCACCCACAAATAAAAAGGTGTTTACTACAAAGGCACTAAATAGTGCTTTTCTAAAACTTATTCCACACAGGATAATTTACACTTTTCAAGGCACTTTCTCTAAGTCGTATTCCTGCTTTGAAATCCTGATATAATGGCTGGTATGCTAGAGAGCAATGGAAAGAAAACTACGAAACCATGATCTAAGAATCATTTGCCTATATAATGTCCCTTCCAAAGACCCCAGATTTTATTAGCTCTATAGAACTGCTTGGACGAGCTTGGGGCAGTCTGTTCTCTTTGGAAGTTCCTCAGTACCAGCTACTGGTAAAATCAAGAGCTCCGATGCAATGGGGATGGAGGGTCCACAGTCAGCTTCTCACAGTTAGACTGCACTACTGAACACAGTAACGAACTTTTCGGTTGGCTTGTATGTCTCAAAAATAAAGAAAAACTTTCCTAGATCAAACAGGAATTTTGATCCATTCAGGGAATCACAGCTTTTCCCATCCATGGTTCTGCCATGAAGTTTCCTACTGTACACCCCTTTCCTGAATTCTGAAATGATGCATGTTTCCTCGCTTGCTTGGATCAAAGCAAAAGGGAAGACAACGAGGAGTGCCTTTGAGACTTACACCGGAACAAAACTGCCCGGCAATTACAGCGAGCGTCTTCATTACCTTTTTGTTTTCTGTCTACCAGGATTAGCAGTGAAATAGTTCTTAATTAAGTCTGAACAGCTCTAAAGAACAGTAACTTTAAAGGTAAACTTCTACTTTAATTACACATAGGCAATACCGGCAGTAAAGGCATTTGCTCCCGTCCAATCCCCTTATCAAGGCTAAGAGCAATCATTCTCAACCCCGGAGAGAGACAACTAAACATTTTAAAGACAAGTGTTTAAAGCAGACCTTCAAGACTAACGCAAGCATGCGATGTGATAGTCCTGCCAGCATGGGTGTTTCATTAGCGCTTCTGGGGGGGGGGGCGAATGGGGTGTTGGTCCAAAGCCCTGAATGCTGAAATAGAAAATAATCAATGGAGTAAGAATCCAGTTGGGTCAGAAAGAGTAAGAAACAGAGAGATGCTAGCGTGGGACATGGTGGCCCTCACCGGATGTTCAAAGCGAGATGAATTTTAGAAGTTGGAGAAAGGAATTTCTGTGTGTGGCCCACGCTGGAGAGCAGACCGTCCGCACGCGGCTGGACAGGCCCCTCAGGCCAGACCAGCGGCTCCATGGAAGCAGCCCCGGAGCTGGGCCGTGAGCGAGAAGTAGTGGGGAACAGGGCTGTCACCGCTTACCCAGGTGCAGCGTGAGGTTGATGGAGTTGGGGTACTGCACCCCGGCCAGCATGGTCTGGCTTTGCCACCAGGTGGTGTCGGCCTGGTTGTTGTAGTCGGTCAGGAAGGCTGCCCCGTGCTGCAGGTGGAGCTGGCCGGCGTCGCACAGGTGACAGGACTTGGTGACTCCGGTCACCCCAGTCTGCACGCAGTACTCCTCGGGCGGAGTCCCACACGTGTTGGTAGCCACCACGGTCACATTGAAGGCGGCATTAACAAACTCGGGCATGCAGCGCTGCGGCCGGCCGCCCTCATCCGCGCACTCGTCCATGGCCGCCCGGACACAGCCCGCCGCAGCCGCCAGCACAGCCAGCAGCGGCCACAGCCGCCCCCGGGGCCGCAGGGCCAACTCGGCCCGCCCGCCGCCCGTCATCCCACCACGCTCGGGCCCTCGGCGAAGGCTGGGGTGCCGCGCTGCTCTCGCCTAGCGGCGTGCCTCGAGGCTGCTCCTCCGCTGCGGGTCGAGGCCGGGCTGTGGACCGGGCTTGGTGGCCGAGAACCGGGTGCGGAGCCGATGGGTGGGCGTCCTAGGCGAAGACCGCGCTGCCTCCGCTGCTTCCCGGTGTGCAGCTCGCACTGGGCGCCGACCCCCGACTTCCGAGCGCGCACCCGAGAGCGCGCCCCAGGAGGAAGGAGCAGGGGGTGGGGTCTGCCGGGTGGGGTGGGATCTGGCGGAGGAGAAAACCCAAGACCGGCCTCCTCAGCAGCTCACGAAGGCCGGGAGCCGCTCCCCGCCCTACGCGTCCTCCCCAGCGACTCCCGGCGGCCGCAGGGGCAACCACTGGCGCTCCGGCCTTGGAGGGCGGTGGGCCCGAGGAGGTGGGCGGGGCGGGCAGTGAGGGGGCGGGGTGTGAGATGGGCAGGGCGGGCAGTGAGAGGGCGGGGCGCGAGGTGGGCGGGACCGGGAGCAAAAGGGAGGGGGCGCGGGATGGAAGAGGAGCCGGGGCAAGAAGGAGGGCTCCTGGATGGGCGTGACTAGAGGTGGGCTGGGCGAGGGTATAACAGGGAGAGGCCCCCAGGTGGGCGGGAGGGAGCGTGAGTGAAGGAAGGAAGGCGGGGCGTGGGGGTGTAGGGCGCGGGGCGTTGCATGCTGGGAGGGCAGGGGCCTCCGGGGAGATCCCGCACCCTTCAGGAATCCTCCCCCTGGTCCTTAGTCCTAAGAGGATCTTGTCCTGGAGGGTATCCGGAACTAGGAGGAGATTCTTAAAGAGCCACGCGGGTTCGGGAGGTGGTTCGGAATGTGTCTTTTGACTTCACGATGTTTTGGACCGTGGCCCAACCAGGTGTCAGTCCTTACGGTATCAGCCACTACCCGGCGCTGGGGCCTGAACCCGCAGTGGTACCGAGGCCTGTGTGACCTCGGTCTCGCCAGACGTCCCCGGGATGCCTCCTGTAGCGCTTAACCCCTCTAAGGAGATCCCGGGGTATACAAGGGACTGGGTCCAATCTCAGCTTCGGAGTCAGTTTTGTAATTTCCTTGTTCTAAATTAAAGTGTAACTGTCATTTACCCGGGCAAGGAAGGAAGTGAGAAGGCTGGGAATGGAATGACATTTTCCCTCTGGACATGCAGACTCGCTTTGAAATTCTTCCACTGTGTTGTTTCTGTTTCCCAGCTTGCCTTTAAAAGACTTGAAATTATCTGGATCCTGACATCTTCCTTTTCGGACCTGCTGAGTCACGGAATATTGTCAGTGCCAGAATGACTCAGTTCACAGAGCCCGAGCCAAAAGATCATGAGTTTTAGTCCCAGATCAGAACTACCTACAGTGCTGATGGAACAAGCAGACAGGGGAAGGGAGGTTGCTGTGAAAATGATCCAGTTGAGAGCGGGGCGTGGAAGCCCACTGCTGGAATCCCAACCCAAGATGCAAAGCAGACCCACAAAGTGGCCGCTCCAGACGCATTTTTAAAAAAACTTTCAGACTTAATGATACAGTGATAACAATAAATACCATTTTGGCTTCAGTAGTCTTTTTAAGATTAAAAATATTGGTATCTCCAAAATGGCAGGCTCAGTAGGTAAGGCACCTGCCACCAAGCCTGATGCCTTTAGTTCAATCCCCAGGGACCACATACCTACATCCATAACCACACCATGACACTTGAGTGCCCACATACATAGACACACAAAAAACTAAATAAATAAATGTAATTTTAAAAAATAGAAGTAGTGGGCATATGATACAGTGAAATAAGTAAATGATAGGTAATGATAGGATCAGTGTCAGGACCATGAGTCCTAATTAAGACAGCCTTAAGGATAATGGGCTACTGTGATGGGTAGGGGTTACTGTCCAGAGAACTTGTAATACTGAACTTACTTGGGAATGCATCCACCTGCCTTATTTGATGAGATGGTGGAGATTATGTATGCTTTACCCCTATAACTTTAAGGAAAGAAAACTGGGAGCTATAATAACATTTTAGATGGCTGAAAAAAAATCAGTTTATCCCTGGAGGGGGTGAGGTCTCAGTTCATTAAGCATGCCAAATAAATTGGCGTGTGTCCTTTTCATTGCTCTCTTTGGGCTTCTGATGTCCAAAGTTAATTTCAAACTGTTATTTATGGTAATTTACTCTGTAATTTCATCACAGGAACCTTATCTCTTATTTGTGCAGTGCATGAAGGAATCTTGAATTCACCTCTTTACTGCTCATTGGAATATGTTAAAGTAACAAAGTATTGGTTTTTCTTAAAAGAAAACAAATTGTATCCAACCAATGTGCTTGATGATGCTACTTTGTTTCATTGTGTGAACTTGGGGGGCAAGGTGGGGTGGGGAGAGGGGACGAGACAGGGTCCCACTCCATAGTCCAGGCTGGTCTGGCTCCCACATCAGTTCTCCTGCCTCAGCCTCCTCAGTGCTGAGATTGCAGGCATGAGCCTCCATGCCAGTCATCATTTTGTAAATATTGATTCAAATAAACCAAAGACTTTGTAATACAATTTTGAAGAGAAATCTGGTCACTGGATGCTGGATGATACCGTATTTGAAGTACCTGGAGGCACCACAGTTATCAATAAATTTGCTATTTAATACGAAAATAAATTTGATGGCATCTAACTGGAGTGATTTCCTAACATCCACTATAGGTTAAGGCAAGAGAATCTTCGGTTCCAGGCCAGTGAGAACCTCTCTGTCCCACCTGCCCTGCCTCAAAACGTCATATAAGATTTACTCTAAGTTACACAGTTTGTTCTTTCTTTCCTCCTCCTCCTGCTCCTCCTCCTCTTTCTCCTCCATCCTCCTCTTCTTCCTCCTTCCTTCTTCTTCTCCTTCTACTCCTCCTCCTTCTGTTTGTTTTGGGTTTTGGTCAAAAGATTCCAGAGCCTTACCCTTTTAAACACACATTCTTAAGTATTTTGAAACTCCATTATATACTAAACAGACATGCTATTTATGAGGGAAAACATGAAAGAAAATTGAGTTCAGGTTTGTGAAATTCAGATTCTCTTAATGCCTGGTCACCAGTGACTCCATGCAACAAGGCCGGTGGCTATGCAAGATGAAAGCATGTGGCTATACACGTTAGATACCCACCAAAAGCCTCTATCTCCCAGTTAAACCCTGAAGCATAAGAGACTTGTCCTTTCCAGTATATATCTGGATAACTTCACCGGAGGATGCTCGATGGCTAAGCCACCTGTGAACCTGCAGGCGTGACCTCCCCTCCCGAACTGAACAACAATAGCCCATCATGAGCCCACTGGGACAAAGCCACTTGGGAAAGGTTGCTGTTGCCAGTAGTGGGTAGGTTAAAAGGCAGCAGGAAAATCAACAGATGTTAAAGTGTGTGTTGCCTTTCAAGATTGTACCTTTGTTAGGTTTTTAAGCCTTTATAATTACCAATGTGTTTAGTTTCCCATTTTTTATTCTTTCTGAGCTCATCACCAATTCTATTGTCTCCACACTGAAGGACATTATACTATCTGCCTTGTCCTTTATGCTTAGAGATGTCACCATCAACAACAACTAGTGGTAATAATATGATGATGTTAGCCTGCATTTGTATATTATTTTCATTTTTCAAATTTTCTCTGGAGCACAGGATGTTATTGCCTCTGTAGCACTGAAGAAACTAAGCCACAAGGTTAAGTAACCTCTGACCCCAAGTAAGAAGTAAAACAGGACAAAAGCTGCCCTTCTGGCACTCTGTGCACAGAGGTTTCCTTCTGCTGGGTAAAGGTCATAAGAGCAATAAGGGTAGATAAAGCACTGTTTTCCACTGCCAAGGTTTCCCAGGTTTTCAAATAGGAATTTAAACTGAGTAGAAATTAAAGTGATACTGAAAAAGTACTAGAATTTCTCTTCAAAGTCACAGTAACTACACATGGTATTTTGGGTTAGGCTTGGAGATATTCTGCCTGTGTCCTTGATACAAATCCCAGCATAACAAGCTAAGAAGCTTGTGTGGCTCAGGTAAAGAAAGACCAGATTCCTCTTGTATAAGTAGACTTAGTCATTTAGGCTTCTTAGTCATACAGGTTTCTTAGTCATTTCAAATCACAAGCCTTTAGTTTTTTTCTTTACTATGTGTGTATTATGTCATCATTTCTTTGTTTTTTAATTTTCAGTTTTAAGCCCATTCTAAGTTCTAGATATGAATATTAGATAATTAATTTAGGTTATTTAGTCCTTAACACAAGTACTTAAGAATAAGAACTTCTAGCAGGACATGGCACATGCCTTTGATTCCAGCATCCAGGAGTCAGGGACAGGTGGATCTCTGTGAGTTCAAGACCAGATTGGTTGGTTTACAAATCAAATTCCAGGACAGCTAGGGCTGCTTCAAGAAAAAACAAAGAAGAGAAGAGAAGAGAAAAGAAGGAGAAAGAATAAGAATGTGTAAGTACTCCATCAGCTATGTGTCATAAGTGCTGATGTGCCTGGGCCTGGATCTTGTCATTGTTAGTATTAATCAACTGAAAACGTTTTCTGATTCCTGTTACAATTCTTCTTTGATCCAGAGGACATTCACAAACTTGTTGCTCAATTTCCAAACATTTGGAGATTTTCCAGTTCTCTTTACTATACAATTAGTCATACATAGTATTGTTATTGAGAAATGGATAAGTAACACTGCTGTGGAATATTTAACTATGTAAAGATGTGTTACATTTGTTTATGCTGTGGAATATTACTTATAACTGTGTAAGTTTCTGCTACTTTAGTTAACAATATAAAGTTGTGTTAAATTTGTTTATGCTGGGGCTGGAGAGATGGGTCAGTGGTTAAGAGCACTGACTGTTCTTCCAGAGGTCCTGAGTTCAATTCCTGGCAACCACATGGTGGCTCACAACCACCTTGAATGCCCTCTGCTGGCATGCAGGCATAAGGCTGTATACACAATAAATAAATAAAATATTTTTTTTAAAAAGTGTGCTTATGCCTTTAAAAAATGTGTTTATGCTGTATTTGTTTAACTATGTAAAGATGTGCTGCATTTGTTTCACCTTGCCTGCCTAAGGCACCTGACTGGTCTCATAAAAAGCTGAACGGCCAATAACTAGACAGTAGAGAGATTGGCAGGGCTGGTGGGCAGAAAGAATAAATAGGGAAAGACAAACTAGGGAGAAAGAGAGGGGCACACCTCAGGACTGGCCAGGCAGCCGCCAGTCAGTCAGACATGAGAAGCAGTTATACAGATGGAAAGAAAGGTTATTATTTGTGATTTAGTAAAGCTTGCGTTTTTAATGCTCCATATAATATGATCTCATTTGACCTCTCCAACAACCCTAGGATGTGTGCCTTTTTACTATTATCTGGTTTTATAGATGAGAAGGGAGGCATAGGAAGATCATGAGGCCAGTAAGTGGCAGAGCTGAAACTCTAACACTGACAACTTGCCTATAGAGTCTTTGTCTTAATTAGTTGCTTTGCAACTAATACCGAGATATCATGGGTGAAACATCAGTTCCCATGCATGGTCATGCTAGAGACACAGACGAATCTTTACTTAGGTCTCAGTTCTGTCAGAGATGCTGACACATTTAGCACATCAATAAGATCACAAATTTTCTTTCAGCTGTTTAAAATCTAAAATATGTTTTAGACGTAATAGAAATAATCTCTCTATAGCAATATTGATAAATGTCATTACCTAAAATACACTTATAGACTTGGTTTGTATTCTTGAAAAAAGAAATGCCCGTACAGATAAGATCAGCTGAGGGAGAGGTAAAATTCAATTTACCTTAAATTATGTACATATATTATTTCTCTTGTGGCTATGACCTAGATGATTAAAGTTAGAAGTTAAACTTTAATGCTGTGCACTCAAGGACTCTATAAATATGCTGTACAGACAAGGATTATAGAGTGTCGGTTCCACATGAAGAAGACCATCTCCGTTTCCCCCAGAAACGGTGTTCCCCAGAACACTTGTCCTCAGGAAAGTATTGGATCACTAACACAGAAACACTCTGTAAAAAAAAAAAAAAAACAAAAAAAAACAGACAAATAGGAAGGACTCACTGACATCTGTGAAGTTTTCCTAAGTTAATGATGCAGCATATAAAGCGGGAATACAGCATGACCACTACTCAAGGCCAGTGGGCAGAAGGAATTTTGCAGAGTTTGAAAACTAAGTGACCACCTCCAGAGGAACCCTCTTATACAATCACAAAGCTCTTGGCCATGTAGCAAGGTCGAAGCTAGGTCAAAGCAGATGGCTGAAGTTTAGGAAATAAAACCAGTGCAAGACTTGATGAGAGGGGAATATATACATCTCACTCTCTGGGGACTGAAACCTGGCAACTCCCATAGATGGATGAGAGAGGAGTTCATGAGGGTCCACCCCGTCCCGAGGTGCCATTGGCAGTTAATGGTTGCTGGAGGAGAGGAAGTCTTATTTTCCAGGGTGCAGCCACTGGTAAATTGCCCACGCTCCAGTAAATAAGCCCCTATCCACAATCATGCCAGCAATGCTAATCAAACTCAGTGGATTCCATACACACAAAAAAA